ATGCAATCATAAATTTTAGCATCAAAAAATAATTATTGATATAAATTTTTTGTTATTATTTAATTTTGCAATGACATCTCACTGCATCAAGTATCTATAACACACAATATGTTATAAGATTATAAGCAAGCACACATAAAGCTTAGACCTATATACAGTTTTACAAAGTATTGTCTACTTTCCTTGAGCGATACCTGCAAAAACAGGAATAAGAGCTGTCCTAACTGCCTCAGGAAACTTAGTTTCATGTGTATAAGCGGTTCCCCTTGCTGATAGCTGCTGCATCATTGCATCAGATATCTTACCAACAAACTGAGCCAATGTTGGCTTAGGCAAACCTTTACAAGGGCCAGAGCATTGATGAATGAGAAAAAACATTGCCATTCCTTCAATCCCAGTATCAGTCACTCCATATTCCCTATTAATAGAGAGCATAGCAGGATCTGTTAATTTATAGCAATTTCCATTCTTCACTCCTTGTATATCAGTAACCATTTCTTCTCCTTTGCTTCTTATCCAGCTCCAGTGCATGAATGCTGTCAAGATTTGGTCCACTCCACGAGCTTCAGTTGATACATAGCCATAATTGTTGCACCATTTGATGTATTTCCCTTCGAGATAGTCTTCAAGCACTGTGTACTCATTGACCTTGACTTTTGTGCTAGTGCCAACTTTTGTAACTATACCGGTTTCACATGTAGTAAATTCCAATCCTCTTCCAAATCCTAAGGCATATTCTTGAGCTTTAGAGTAAATCTTCAAGGTAGAATCCCAACCTTTTAGTTCCCAAATGTAGTTGTCTTTGAATTTTTTTACTACAATACTCTGCCCACATTTAGTAGGATGCTCAGTGTAGCGCCCCTTGAAAGCATATCTAAATCTTCCTTCAGCAAAGGGTTCTGCTTCAGCTTCCCATTTAATCATGATTTACTCAATACTTTTTCCAAACTAATAATGAAAAAGGTGAGGTTATATATATAGCCGTATTTAAGCTGGGGGAAGTACCTGGGTCATTCCCTTT